TACCATAATTAAATCCTATTGTGATCATGGAATCACAAATCAAGGATTCACTTGATGGCAGCTGACAATAATCATAAGCATTATTTCATATAATCATCCTTAATATGAGGAAGGTAGATTGTTGTATCATTTCACAGATGAAGAAACTGAGTCTTAAAATGATTACATGATTTTCCCAAGTCCACAAGCTGACAAAGGAGTTAAACTGGGACTCTAGACAAGATTGCTACCCCTGAGATCTTCCCTCACTAACAGCTGATGAGGTTCCTTCATTCAAGAAGTCCTCAGTGGACTCTCAAGACTACAATCTGCATGGAGAGCAGCTTCCTGGCTCTACCTACCATAGAGGTCTCAAACTTGACTGTTACCATCAGGTTGGGTCCATTCTGTACAGAAATCAATGCTCCAGAGAACAATATCTACATGATATTTTTATTTGAGAATTATCAATATGACAAAATAATTTGTTGAGAATGACAAAACCCACCTCCTGGGGGAAAAAGCTCAAGTACACATTAAGTCACTCAATGGGTTCTAAAGTCAGTTTCCATCACTTATGGCAAGAGCTGGGGGTGCACCCTTAGCAAGGATGGCTCAAGGAACACTTCTGAGAATAGCCCTACCTGAAGACTCTTGGACTGTGATATGGGCTTACTGGCCAGAAATGATAGCATGCTGGGAGATTTTGATCATAAAGAAAAGAAACAAGAATTATCTCAAATAAGAGGTTTTAGTATATAGATGAACAGAACAAGGAAGAGAAGGTTCTAAGGCTTCACTGAAAGTCAGAAAAGCTAGGCTACCAGACTGTGATTCAGGGGTCCCATGAAAAGGTGATAAGAAGTGGTGAGTGAAAGGGGTCCTTCTCCTCCACAAGTGTCCTAGCACAGCGCAAAGCAATCCCACCTACGTCCCTCAGGGCTGGGCAGCTTTGGGAGCTTGAGGCTCTCTCAGTGGTCAGGCCGCGTCTTCAGTGGCATCATAGACCGAGGATAAAGAGGAGCACTGTCCTTCATGAGACAAGGTACATTTCCTAGGATTTCTTTTTAGATGGTTCCACAGGGACTGTGTGCTTCAAACGTGTGTGAGCTGGTTCCTTCCTGCGCTATTGGTAAGGGTGGTTAGTTAACTTCATGTGAAGGGCCTAATTTGGAAAACAGAACTCTGGGGAAGACACGTGTGTACCAGGAAAGCTAACCAAAGGCTTTAGTAGAGGTGGCTACTAAAGCACGAAAGTTATATTTATCTCTGATCCACAAGAGACTTTATTAATTAGTACTGTTAATATTAGAAGCTTTCATTGGTAAAATAAGTAGGTATTCTTAGGATTTGTGAACTGGCTAGCAATGTAAATTGTACAGCTCCTCTTGCACCAGGAAAAAGGAGTATAAGGAATTAGAAAGACAAATTGCTTACCTCCTGGAAAGGGTACCTGGAAATAATTGGGGGTATTCTATAACCTGTACCAAACAGAAAGGTAGCAGATTCTTTCTGCTAAGTCTTCCGTCTATTCAAAATGAACTTTCATGTCAGATGCCATCACAGTGATCAAGAAGCACCTAAGGGCTGACACAATGACTAAGAGGATGGTTCTGCTGCCAGTGAGTGTTGATAGTTGCTCTCTGGACCACAGTGCACCTGTTAGCAAGTTTGGGAGGGAAGTAACCTAAAAGGTTCATCACCTTCTGATTAGTAAAGGCCACCGGCAATCTTTCAAAAAGAACTCAATATTCATGAATGGTCAAGTCAACTCTGGTATTTTGCCATGACTTTAAATATTCTCAGAAATAATCAGAAAAATTCTGAGCAGAAACTGAGGAAGTTATTCATACATACTAAGTACTATGAACATCAATCTTAAAGCAGTTTGCTTTAGTCTTTATTCTCGTCCTGAGTACAAAATATCACATCCTTTATAAAACTTGCATACAATAGAAAACTAAGAAATGGAAATCTTCCCCAGAATTCCATACTCAAAAGATACTATAAAATCTCTTGGGATAAAAACTTTTAGACTTCTTAAGCATACATTGGTGAATAAAAACAAGAAAGATTAAAGTGAAATAGACATGTTATTCTCATACAAACTGACAAGTAAATCAACCAACGAAAGGTCCTCAAAAGGGCTAATCTTCAGAGACGATCCAATCACAACTTGGGGGTTGGATGAGAGGGTTGGAAACCTAAGATGTAATATTAAATATTGTTAATATTAAATATTGACCAACATATTAAAGATGTCATAAGGCTCAATTTTTCTTAAAAAAATAAAGAAAAATAACAAATCTGATAGAGAAAAGATCATAAAATCACCAGTTTTTTAGCAAAATAAACTTCTAAATCCTAATTCTAGCATACATTATATAATGTCTTTAAAATTAATATCTGAGAAACAGTCATTTCTTTACCATCAAATAAACTGTAAAAGTAATTCTACAATTTGTTTCACTTGACCATATAAAGAAATCCATTGTCCATGGCCATTCATGAGTTCTTAAGTTCTCGGTGGGATGAGATAATAACAGGAATTGTTACATATGAAAGCATCATCCCTGTGGTGGAGGCAGTGGAGAGATCAGAATGGAGGATGAAGAACAGATTTCAGCTTTTATCAGAAAGCACTTTTGATTCAACGTCCTTCAGCTGCATTTGTAATGCATGCAAAACATCTTCCATCTATGAAATGAGAAGGAAAAAAAAAAGCATATAAAAATATATATTCTAACCACAATCGAATGAATTAAAAATTGTGGTACATTCACACATGATGGAATACTAACCAGCTACTTGAGAGAGACTGGAGAGCATTCTGCTGAGTGAACTCAGTTTCATAAGGACAAATGCTGCACATGTATTGGAATCCAAAGGAGGAAGGAGAGCAAGCAGAGGGGTGAGGATGAACAGGAAGAAATCATGGGGTCACACAATTTGGAGGGGGTCAGGTAAAGGAAATAGGAATGATCCAGTGGGGACCCAAAAAGATGGGATAACGGTAGCCATAATTCAATGGGGATTAAGTTTATAAAGCACAATGTATGGGAATAATTCTATGAAACACAATGTGAGAGGAAAGTGCAAAACACAATGTATATGCATACAAATTTGTACTCAAACCAATATAAAAGAAAATTTATTTTAAGAACTAAGAATGTAAAAACAACAAAAAAGTATAAATGTTTCTAAAATGTAGCAAAACAGTTAAAAAAAGACATTAGAAAATAAAGTGAAAGATCTAAAAAAATATACAATGATTAAAAATACATCTTTAATGTAATTTTTTAGCACACTATACATTAAACATAGTAGATATTCAGTGTTTGTTTAAGTTATTTACAGGCATAAACCAAATTTTCTTTAAATTAGGTGTAATTCTGTTGGCAGTGGGCCTCACCCACAGAACTTCTACGCATTCATCAGCATCAACAATTCTGGCCTACCTGGTTATGTAAAGATCTTAACATTCAACAATAAGGTTACTTACACCTTAATGTGTATGGAATGGAATCAAATGAATTAAAAAAATTCCAGTTCAGAAGTTTTGTTTGTGTTGTGTGTGTGTGTGTGTGTGTGTGTACCGTCAAATCAGATCTGACTGGTACAGGAGGAGATTGTCCCTCCTTCCCCAGCAGAGCATCTGGTGAGTTCAGAAGTTTTAAGATATAAACTGTTTGATTTCTGGTATGAAATGTTTTCTGAGTTCCTAAAAAAAAAATCACCTTCATATTAAATGAAATAAAATAAGAATAATCTTACCATCTAAATGCTAAGATGCAAACAAATATGACAATTACTGCTTATCGAGGGACATTCACCAGCAGGAAGCTATCCACACAGAGATCAAAAAACATGGAGGAAAGTTACCTGTTTTAGACATTTTTCCATTTCAACTCTGCTCTCAAGATTAAAGAGTTCGTTATCTTCTGACACAATTCGCTTTTCAGAAGATCCTAAAATATATCTGAAGTATATCAAAGCAAAAAGTTAAAATGTGAATAGAAAAGGTATAATATTTAATATTAAAATTTTTAAATCTATTACAATATATTTGAGCGCCAAGTAAACAAATATTATAACTATTTTCATTAATAGCAACTTTCCTAAGTAAAGCTGTACTACATAAAATCATGAGGTTTTTCTGCCTCTGTAACAGTTTTGTCTGTATTTTTCCTATACATTTTCTCCTTACTGAGAATTAACTTGCTTCAATTTTTTAGCAAGCTGGATGACAAAACAATGGCACCCATAGTCAAATTCCAAGGACAAGTTAAATTATCCGGGGGAAAAAAAAAAATCACAGAAGCCTGCTTTCTTGTTTTGTGAACATGTGTGCTTTCAAAATTGACTTCTAATAAATAATATATTCTAAAGTCAACTCTTGATTACCCAAGTTTGGGCAACTTCAACAGTTACCTACCAAGTGCAGTTTTGCTCAACTCTCTATGGAGCCCTGTGGCACAGTGTTTTATGTTTGGGGCTATTAACCAAAAGGCTGGTAGCTTGAATCCACCTGCCACTCTGGGGTAGAAAGATGAGGCCATCTTCTCCCAGATTTACAGCTGCAGAAATTTGATAGAGGGCTGTCATGAGTCAGAATCAACTAAATGGTAGTAAGTCTAGGTTTTTTGGTTTCTAAGGTCACAACTATCAATGTGGATTGAGGCTCAATGTCAAGAAGACAAAGATTCTCACCACTGGACCAAGTGGCAGCATCAGGATGAATGGTGAAGAGATTGAGATTGTTCACAGCTTTAGTTTGCTTGGCTCCACAGTCAACACTCTTGGCACCAGTAGCCAGGAAATTAAAAGACATACTGCGATGGGAAAGACTGCTGTTAGGGACCTCTGCAAAGTTTTGTAGAGCAATGGTGTCTCTCTGGAGACTAATGTGTGTCTGATATAGGCCATGGTCTTTGCTATTACTTGATATGCATCAGAGAGTTGGACAATGACCAAGGAGGATAGAAGGAGAATTGATGCCTTTGAGCTGTGGTGCTGGAGAAGAGTGTTGAGAGTACCATGGACTGCTAGGAAAACAAACAGATTCATCCTGGAAAGGGTTAAACCGGGTGGCTCCCTGGAGGCAAGGATTCTGAGGCATCATCTGACATACTTTGGACATGTTGTAAGGAGGGACTGGTCCTTGGAGAAGGGCATCATGCTTGGGAGGGTGGAGGGACGGTGCAGGAGGGGAAGACCCTCTATGAGGTGGATTGATTCAGTGACTGGGGTAATCGGGATGGGAGTGTCAGAGACAGTGCAATTGGCACAGGATAGAGCAGGGTTTAGGGCTGTTGTACATAGGGTCGCTATGAGTCGCAAGCAACTCGAAGGCACAGAACAACAACAACAACAACAAGGTCACAAGGTGGACAAGCAGCATGAAATTAGCTCAAGATTACTGAATATTAGAAAAATTGGTCTGGCAATGAGGAAAAGAGGCCAAATGGAAGCCACCAAATAACAATCTAAACTATAAGATGGAAGAGGGCAATACTTGACTTTTCTATTTCTTTACAAGTCTTTATCGCTTATGTGTAGTGACATTAGTGCGTCCTTTCTTTTGTCAAAGACGAATAGTATTCTCTTAGAAATCCTACAGATTATATCCCTCAAAAAATAGTATGGCAGGCAGAAAACAATGAGCATTGTTTAAAATAAATAAATGAGGTAGGAAAAATTAAATGGCATTAAGTAATTATTAAAACTATAAATAAACATTTTCAAGAACATTTTCTTCCAAAGAAAACCAGGCATTAAAACCCTGATACAAGAGGTAATTCTTACCCTAAATCAATGTACAGGAATACTGCAATTCCCTGCGAAATATCTTCTACACATTTTTCTCTTATACACTAGCTTTACTGCCAGAAATTATTACTTGAAGACATATTTTACCGAACAATATTGATTTAGTTGTAATGTTGTCAATACCAATTTCTCTGCAAACTTAACTTTTCTAAAAACTCGATTAGATAATCATGTATCCGTATATCTAACTTACTTATCAATGGCACCGGCACTAAGGCAAAACAAGTTTTTCTTGAAATTAAGATTCTTGGGTGTGCAACTGTACTTGTAGCCAAGCTGGAGTGAGCATCCTTTGCAGTATAAGGTCTCAAGAACACTGCAACAGAGCATAAACATTTAAGTCACATAAATGTTTAAGTCTTGTAAATATTTAAGTCTCTTGAACATTTAAGTATACTGTTCTGATCAAGTAAGTTCTTATGGGTAAAGGGAAAATAATAGAAAGATATTTATAACATAAAGAAAGCAAGCTCCAGGCCATTGTTCCTTGAGCATTCTGGTGACAGAAGTGGCAAGAAAGATACTGCCTATATTAGGAGAAATCATCTAAACTTTGGGAGAAGGGTGGAAGGAAGATTCCACCTGTTCTTTTAGTGCTGTACTATCTAACTAGCCCTCTAAGAGTCATGTGACACTCTAGGGTTGTGGGAGGAAGGGAACATTTTTTTCTGCATGAACCAAACAAAAAATTATTTTAGGTGAACAGGCCATAAGGCATCTGTCCCAGAGACTTAGCTCTGCCACTGTAGCATGAAGTCAGTCATGCTGTTGTTAGATGCTTTCAAACTGACTATAACTCATAGTGATCCTACGAACAACAGATCAGAAAGGTGCTCTGTCCTGCACCATGCCTGCCATCTCCAACATGCTCAAAACCATTGCTGCAACAATGGGCCAATCCATCTTGTTAAGGATCTTCATCTCTTGTGCTGACCCTCAACTTTCCCAAGCAAACTCTTTTACCAAACACAGAGAATCCCTACTGACAACATGCCCAAAATATGTAAGTCTCACCACCCATGCCCCTGAGGAGCACTTTGGCTACACTTCCTCTAGGACAGATTGGTTTGTTCTCTTGACAATCCATAGCATTCTTTTTACTGATACCACTATTTAAAGACATCTACTCTTTTTCTTCCTTATGCACTAGTCAAAGACAAAACATTACTGAATACATGTTTGTGCTCTAATCAAACTTTATTTACAAAATCACAGACACCTGTCCTACAGCTTCAACCCCTGCTCAAGGGAAAGGTAGTATTGTTTGTAGAAAACAGATTGAAACGGCAAATAATTTTATTTTTGTAGAAATGAAAGTAATTTCTACTGAGAGAATCCCAGAGGTTGAGGTTTTATTGCTCTATATTAACCATATTTGTCCTTTAATGAAATCTACTCCTTTAAACCAGCTTTATAATTTTCTGATTCCTTCATTAATGGGTTAAATTTGCCCATTATATACTTGTCAGAGTCATGTTCCCTTATAAATTACATTATGATACACCACTTAAAATCTTGAGAAAAGAAGGAAATCTCATCTTGATATTGGAGGTCTTTAACATTTACCTTATAGTAAAAAACTTTTAATAGTGAGAGCGCAGACTGAAGCTAAAAACCAGCCAGGCATGGGTATATCAGGTAGAATAACATTTGTCTTAACTGCATTAATCTTTATTGATACATTTTAGGCATGGCAAGTGTTATATTTATGGTAATTAATAGTCATTTACAAATAAATTTAAGGAAAAGATTTTCTTTATTACCGTGCTGGCTTATGGTTTTTGTTCTGTTATGATGTTGTAAGGTATGTTACTATATTTCAAATACTAGCAAGGTAGATCATCCAAGGTGGGCCAGTTTTAGCACAACTTACAGACTAGAAAGAAAGTCTTGGAAATATACTTTCAAAATTTAGTCACTTAAAACCACAGCAGAATATTGTCTGATACAGCGCTGGAAAATAGCCCTGTAGGTGGGAAAGCACTACACAAGAGCTGCCAGTGAACTCAACACACCAACAATCATGAAGATGGTGTGGGATCGGGCAGCCTCTCACTGTCCATGAAGCCGCCATGAGAAAGACCATCACATATATATCGATTTCCCACGTGTGCCATTATATGACACAAACAAGGTAGATGGCATTGTCTAAGGCACCTTCATTCAGGTGATGTTAACTACAGACATTTTTTATTTTCTTCAAGACAAAGCCCAAAGAGCCAAAAAAGGAAATATCTACTTATCTCTTTAGTAATCTAGAAATTCTTTATCGAATCTAGGGATCATCATCACTCCAGAATTAATTTTTCTTGATTACTATGAGACACTTATATCCCTAATTGTAAAGCAATGATCTCTTAAAAAGATTTTTACCTGAAAAACAAACATTTCTCTAACATAAACATTCATATAGATGCAATGTGACTCACCAACCATTTTCCTTTTTATGTTCAGACACATTCTGTTCTTTGTCCACAGAAACATAAGAGGAAACATCTAGAAAAAGGAACATAACTATAATTTATTAACGTAGCTTATTAAACAGATATTTAGAGAACTTGTATATTTCATATTAAAACTTAGAGGGCTGGGGAAAATAAAAGGCCTAAGTATCTTCTCTCTTTCTCTCTAATATACACATCCAAAACTAAATGTGCAGGAGTTTTCTGAAAAAACAAAGAAGGATTTAAAAAAAGAGTTCTTTTCTTCCCTGGGAACCACCGACATTAACAAAATAGATTAACTTAGCAACAAAAATCCAGGAAATGTAAAGCTGGAAAAATGAGAACCTCAATATCATAAATGGCAAAGTCTAACTACTGGACTTTGTGAATTGGAATCAAAGCCAAAGAAGATGTTAAAAGTCAATGCATCCATCTCTAATCTCCAGGGAGTTCACTTCTCTAAAAGTAATTGAAGATCTCCAGAAGTCCAATAAAAAAATCTTTTACTTGAACCACTACTTGGGCAGAGGTCATGATGAAACCAAAGAAGCAAGAAACATTACTGCAGGGTCCAGGACACAATAAAGGACAGGTAAGGATGGAGAAAAACAAAGAAAAGTCTGACCTAACCGTACAGTTCCTTGATTTTACCTCCTTCTACTCACTGCCACAGAGTTGGAAAGAATTCATGGCTGATCTTCCCTTGGGATTCCAAGGCTGTAAACTGCACATCTTTCTCCTGAGGGGGCTGACAAAGTCACTTGTGTATCCAACAGTCACAGCAGCATAGCCTGTAGGTTAGCAATGCAACTCCCTAAGGACTATTGTTGCTGTTTTATACCATCAAGGAGGATCTGACCAATAGGTGACCCTCCGGAGGGTTTTCAAAGGCAGTTAATCACACAGGGGATTGCCCATCCTTGCCTTTGTGTTTGAAGCGCAGCTTCTTGCCACTGGGCCACCAGGGCCTCCCCTCTCCTCCAAATGCTTTGAATGCATCTGAAAGCTGGACTGTCAGGATTATGATAGAATCAATGCCTTTTCACTGTGGTATTAGAGAAGAGGATACAATAAATTATGGGCTGCCAAAAGAACAAACAAACGTGTTTCGAAGGAAGTGAAGCCAGGGTGATCCTTAGAAGAATGATGAAACTTTGTCTCACTTACTTTGGACATGTTATAAGAAAGGGCCAGTCCTTGGGACAAAGACATCATGCTGGGAAAGGTGGAGGATCATACAAAGAAGAAGACCCTCAACAATGGACGGACACACACAGTGACTGCAACAATTGGCCTGAGAATGATGGAGATGGTGAGGATGGTGCAGGAAAGGGAATGTTCAAGATCTCTTGTTCACCGAGTCACTAGGAATCGTAGCCAACTCAGGAGAACTTAGCAATAGCCTCCAAACTGCCCTAAGGTTACTCAAATTAGAAATCCAGTGCCATTGGATCTTTTGTCTTTTCATTCTATTAAGAAGTCCTGTGAATTCTAATGCACAAAAAATTTTCTCTCCAACACATCTACTCTTCTTTTGTCTCTCCAATGAATCTATTCTTCTCCATCCTAACACAACTGCCACTTTTTATTATTATACTAGTTTATTTACAAAATTTGAATACATTGTTTCTCACACTAGTTTCTCCTCATTTCCCTAACCAACCCCATCAAATTGTGCAACTTCATGATTAATCCCTCCCTCTTCTCCCCATTCATCCTCACCACTCTGCTTCCACCTTCCCCCCTCCTTGAATCCTCATTCTACAGTGTATAGTGTTATACAGTATTTGTCCTAATGGGACTGAGTTAGTTCACATAGTATAATGTTCTCCAGTCCCTCCTAAGTTAGGTAATAATTTACAAAATTATTGCTCCTGTGTGCTGCATAGTATTCCATTGTGTGAATGTACCATAATTTCTCAATCCATTCAATTGTGGTTGGACATCTGGACTGTTTCCATGTTCTTGTGATGGTGAATAATGCTGCTATGAACACTGGTGTACAAGTCTCCATTTGTGCCTCAATGCTCATTTTGTCGGGGTATATTCAAGTAGCGGAATAGCTGGGTCATATGGAATTTTCTATGATCAGCTTTTTGAGGAAGCGCCAAACTGCCTTCCTGAATGGTTGTACCATTGTACAATGCCACCAACAATGTATAAAAGTTCCTTTCTCACCACATTCTCTCCAACAATTATTTGCTGTCCTGTTAAACTTTGCCATTGCTACTGGAGTGAGATGGTATCTCATTGTGGTTTTGATTTGCATCGCTCTTATTGCCAGTGATCTGGAGCATTTCTTCATGTGTCTGTTGGCCATGTGAATATATTCCTTTGTGAAAATTCTTTCCATGTCTTTTGCCCATTGGGTTATCAGTCTTTTTCTTGTGGAGGCCCAGCAGTATTCTGTAAACTTTCGTTATGAGATTCTTGTATGAGCTGGTATTACCAAATATTTATTCAAATATTTGTAGGTTTTCTTTTCACCCTGTTGGAAAAAGTTTTTTATTTGCACAGGGATTTAATCTTTAGAAGGTCCCTTCATCAATTTTATCCTCTTCAGATTGTATTTTTCTAGCTGTATTTGACAGTCACCTTATACCATTGACTAGACCATCTAAGCTTGATCCCAGTTTGTCTCTGATGAACTTTATGATTTTGGGCTTTACTCCTAGTCTCTGATCCACCTTGTGTTGATTTTTGTGTATGGAGTGAGATGTGGATCCTATTTCAGCTTTCTGCAGGTGGCAGTCCAGTTTTGCCAGTACCATTTGTTGAGGAGGTTGTCATTTTCCCATTTGATAGTTAGATTTTATTTCTTTGTCAATTATCAGTTGACCATAGATAGCTGGGGGGTATTTCTGGGTTCTCAATTTCGTTCCATTGGTCTATGTTCCTGTCATTGTACCAGTACCATGCTGTTTTGGTTACTATCACTAAGCAGTAGGTTTTGAGCACCACTTCTTGCATAGATGTCTGCAATAGCTCCTGACTGATCTATAAGTAGACCATAATACTCTTGTCTTCTCCAAGACCTTGTCTTCTGAGAATATCATACAAGGTTCCAAACTGTCTGGGTCTTTCCTCCTTCCTTAAATCTTTACTCTACTTTTCATGTACACTAAATCAAGGTCTTTGCACTACCTATTCTCCCTGCGTGGGGAAAGCACAGAGCATGACCAAGAACTATGTATGAGGCCAAGTTCACATTCATGTATGAAAATGAGAACAGCATTTTTTCAAGCATACAGTTTTCTGGGGAAGAGAACTATAAATGCATCACTTAATGTTCATTTGGGTAATGTCCAGACTGCATATTGATCTGCAATCCCAGATAGTTTGTTTAAAAAAGAGAGACTGGAGCTCTTCTTTTGTTAATTCCCCCTAATAATTTTGGTTTTGTTTTTTAAAAGTTATTTGATAGTGCAACAATGAATGAATGGAAACCCAAAATCTCTGTAAATATTTATTAAAATTAATAAA